AAGAAGGGGCAGCACGGCAGAGGTGACCGCACAACAAAGGAAGACGTGTACGAGCGATTTCGGCAGGTGGCTGCGGGGCACCAGGCCGCAGCGCCAGCAATCCACCTGTACTGCCCCTGGGACGGCCACAAGTTCGTGCGCGATGAGACCTCCTGCCCTGAATGCTCCACCCCACGCGGCACCACCAACGTACGTTGATTTACATTTTTAATTCTAATATGCTGAATTTTTAATTATTTGGCAAATAATAATCCTAATTATCAGAGATAAATAATAATGATATATAATTAAATATTAAATTAAATTATCATCATAATTGGAAATTATAACGGAAAAAACACCAGTACGCGGGGCAGGGCAAAGCGCCGTGGAGGAAGGTGCTGTACGAGGACCAGCCCTACGAGGACAACTACACGCACAAGCCCACGTTCCTGATCGGAATGATCACCAACGGTCTGCCAGCTGCGCCATTGTGCCAAGTATTTCTTGCTGACTGACCTTCTGCGCAACACACACACACACGCACTCGCACTCGCACTCGCACCCACAGCAAACAAGCGGGAATATGATACGGTGATGCTCATCATCGATTCGGCGGCCGTCACAGCGCAGATAAGGTTCAGTCCCCAAATTCTCGTATCTTTTGGGGGAATGAATGCCTCGTACGACCATGACTGAACTGACCGACTCACGCTCCACCAGCATCATCGCGCTCTTCATTTTGATGTTCATTGCGATCTACAACGAGTCCGTGTCGCTTCAGTTCACCCTGGCCGGAGAGGCCCTCCTTCTCATCGCCGGCTTTGTCCTGCGACGCATGATCGATCCACGCTTCACTGGTACGCTTCGGCCATGCGTGTGTTGTGTATCGCACGCGCGCTCCTCACTGAAGACACACGCTCACTGCAAACCGCACACGCGCAACACACAACAGAGAAGTATTTGCTGCGCGGGGTGCGAAGTCTCGTGGTGCTGGTGTGCACGCTATTCGGTCTGTCGCCCGTGCTCAAGACGCTCGTCGAGTCCGTGAGCAATGACACCATCTGGGCGCTCACCATCTTCTTCTTCGTCCTCCACCTGGCCTTCGCCGATTACTCCTACCTCCAGGGCAACGCCGAACGGTACACTTATTTTTTTAATATTTATTATATTTATTATATTATTTTTTTATATTTATTATATTTTTACAGATTTTAGTAATTGTCGGAAGATGGCATTCACGCTGACGCAAATCTCCGGAGGGCAGGATGAGCGCTCCGGTGTCCCTGAATGCGGCGATCTTCGCGTCAGTGCTCCTGGGGTCGCGCCTGTCGGGCAGCATGCAGGTCTTCACCCTGCTCTGCTTCGCCGTGCTGATCTTCGCTCTCTTTCCCATGATACGCCATCACGTCAAGGTACTTGTCTCCCTTCTTTGATTACATAGCCTGTGCTGCAGCTTTCCTACCGTTCAGTGAGCTCACTCCCTCGTGCGTGCGTGCGTGCGGTGTGTGCGATTCTGCGTGTGCGCACACATACAGCGAAAATCTCTGCGCTTGCACCTCTGGCTCACGTGGGGCATGGTAGCGATAGTGACCGTGTGCCTGTTCAATGTCTATCCGCTGGTGGCCTACGCCTACACGTCGACCATCGTCTTCACCACCTTCATCTGTCCGATGTGGCTCAAGTGGATGCAGCGCTACAAATAGTGCGCCTCCCCCTCATTTTGATTGACTCTCCAAGCAGGGGTCTGACCACGTCGCGCGTGTCGTGTCGTACGTGTGCAGTGAGATCAACGGCCCATGGGACGAGGCCGTGCCCGCGGTGGAGAACAGGTCTGACCTTCAGTCCTCCTGAGCCATGTGGCGCCACGCACTACACTTACAATCTCGCTTGGTTTGACCTAGTTTTTTGTGTAGACAGATTAAACAAGTAAATAAATAACTATCACAAATAATGGATGTTACCTCGCTCACAGCTGCAGTGTCGACGGCCGCGTTGGGGGGGGGGTGGACAGCACTGATGATTGCAGTAAGCTTGTGCTTGAGTGGTGGAGCCAGTGGGTGCGCACACTCCCCACATCTCACAGCGAGAAGACGTGGAGCGTGCGCACGCACGGGATCCAACACATGCACGTCTAGCTTGCTGCGACCACCAGTGCTGTCCACCTGGCCTTGGGCGTGCTTGTAGGACGAGTGTCGTTGCTTCGGTGGCGGGTGTGGTGTGTGCGTGTGTCTGCGAGTGTGACAAGTGCCATGGCGTGCGCGTGCCTGTGGTAAGCTTACCCATGCGCGTACACGCGTGAGAGTGTGAAAGGGAGTAAAGATAAAATGACAAATGAACGAGTCCACACTCCCCATATATGTCTACACGGAGGCTTGACCGGTCGGGGAGCGAGAGGGTGACCTCCAGGGAATATTCACTTGGCTTTGTGCAACCTCAGTTCCACTTCCAGAACGCAGAACACATTGCTATCTGCCCAGGTGAGGTGCACATGAACTTCTGACTTCCCCCTGGTGAAGATATATCCATATCATATGCATCTCTATCTCCTTCTGGTCAACCTCAACTCCTGGTTGGCCATTTTTATATTTTTATCTCCTATCTAAGCCCAGTATCTCCACCTCACTAAAGCAACCAACAGCTATTGTTCCTTCTCTGTACTTTCCCATGTTTTCTGCCAAAATGTCGCACGGGGCATTCTAACTATGCGCACATGCTGAGTCAGCTGGGGCATCATCTTGCGTTCTGCGAGCCACCCCAGAAAAGATAGTCAGCCAAATGTTCTCCTTCTACGCTTGGCGGAGCTTGCCGTTTTATCTGCTGTTGAAGCAATCCACCACCACCTGCTGTATTGGGTCTTGTTTGCAAGCACGCGCAGGGATCAGTTTCGCCGCGTTGACTGGCGCGGAATCTATTTTCTCTTTTCCCTGTGTTTTCTTTTCTTTTCTTGCCACGAGGTTGTCCTTTTCAATAATTATTGAAGTGAAAGGGCCGTTTTTTCTTGTGTTTGCGGACGATGGACAGCGCAGGAGTGAAGGAGGACTCAACTGACCCTTGGCCCAAGCCGGCCAAATTGCCACGACGTGGCACGTCTCTTTGTGGGGTGGTCCTGGCGGAGGCTACATGCGAGCGGTCCGATGACCAGTTGGCGCTGTCCCTGGCTGATATGGCTGCACGCGCCCAGCAGCTTCTGTTCGGCAGGCCAGTCCTGTTGGCCATGGGCCTGCCCTGCTCCGGGCTGAGAGCTTTCGTACCCTGCCCTCCGGGCCGCTTTCGCTGTCGTTTTCGTTTTTTGCAGTTTTAATTGGTGACGTGGCCAACAGTGGAAGGTGGAGCACATCAAGAGAGAGCAAGAAAATGGTTGGAAACCGGTCGAGTCGTGGGACAGTATACCTGCCATGCACGACCACTTCTGCGCCCGGCTCAAGGTGGCCATTTTATTCTCGGCAGTGTTCCCTTCTTCATAGCTCTGATGCCTCTGAGCCTCGCATTCCCTAGGAAGCGGCAAAGTCGCTGGGTTGTGCTGTCCAGTGGGATCGCACCTTCAAGACCAACTCAGATCCCCTCTACTGTTCCTTCGTGCGCTGGCAGGTTCGTGTCAGATGAGCTCACCCGACTCCTGGTCACATGAAGAGCTTCGTAACTGTTGTAGCTGATGATGCCCTTATCATCTCCCTACCTCGCCAAGATGCGGTTGCTCCACGAGCAAGGGCGAGTTGGGCGGTGCCAACGCCCAATGGTCTATCATGTCGGCCGGGGCAAGATCGTCCCCATCTACGACAGGTACAGCCCAACAGCACGACGAACTACACACGACACGACACACACGGCATGGCTTGCACAACACACATGAAACACGGTGCATTGTTCTCATACCAACCTTTCGCTCAGAGGCTTCGTGGGGGGTCCCGCTACAAGGTTCAAGGAGGGAATACCTTGGGTTTCCACCCACATTGCGATCAGGCAGGAGCTCCTGCTTCTTGAGGAAGATGGCACCCACCCTCTTCCATCATCGGCATTATCACGACTGCGAGCCTTGCTCGACCGCCACACCAAGATCTACGTGGTGAGTCTGTGCCACAAGCACCTCGTGGAGCTGGTCTTCCGGCAAACGGGCTGCGCCATCAACCAGGAGTCGGACCTGGGCGCCTACCTCGTGCTGGGCCGACGTCTGCACCATCGCCATCAACGCGCGGACGAACACGATGGCGACCGGTGGGTG